AGAGAGAATGAGATAGAGAGAGCATGAGACGGGGTAGGGTCAGAGGGAGAAGCAGACTCCCCGCTGAGCAGGGAGCCCGATGTGGGACTCGATCCTGGGACTCCAGGATCATGACCTGAGCCAAAGGCAGTCGCTTAACCAACTGAGCCACCCAGGCGCCCCCACTATGTCTTTTGATTGAAGAATTTAGTCCATTTACATTTTAAGTCGGTATGAATAGGTATGTGCTTATTGCCATTTTGTTCATTGTTTTCTGGCTGTTTCTGTAGTTCCTTTCTGCTCCTTTCTTCTCTTGCTCTTCTCCTTTGTGGTTTGATGACTTTCTTTAGTGGTATGCTATGTTCCTTTCTCTTTACTTTTTTATGTATTTACTATAAGTTTTTGCTTTGTGATTACCACGAAGCTTACATATAACAACTTATAACAGTCTGTTTTAAATTGGTAACAACTTAAGTGTGATCCCATTCTACAGCTCAACATTTTTACCCTCCCCCCACCTAGGTTTTGTGTTTTTGATGTCACATTTTTCATCTTTTTACCTTTGTTATCTCCTAACTAATTATTGTAATCATAGTTATTTTTACTGCTTTTGTCTTTTAACCTTCATACTAGCTTTATAATAATTAATCTACTACCTTTACTATATATTTACTTTTCCAATGCGATTTATTCTTACATGTTTTCTTGTTACTAATTAGCACCCTTCCTTCTCCATACTTTTTACTTTTTTGTATAAATTGGTGTGTTCTCTAAATTCCAGGAATGAAACATTCGCTGAGGTTTAGGAGGTCTCCCTTATGGCAAAAATTCCATGTCTTGCAATTCAGCAGGTGTCTTCCTCCCCACTCGCCGCCCCGCCGAGTCTACAAGCCTTCAGGCTAAGTGGGCTTCCACACAGAGAAGGTATGTTGGTTGAAATAAATTAAGCTGGATGATTTATAAGTTCTGAATGCATTATTCATTCATTCAGACATACTGAATGCTCACTCAGTGCCAGGCAAATCGAGGTTGCAGAGAGCTTCAGATGGGTTGTGTGGTTCAGAGGAGGCTCCGCTTTGTGAGAGTGTGGGGCAGGGCTGAGGAAGGCCTGGAGAGGTAGGCTCTAAGGAGGGAGAGCCACCCTCACAGCACTTGGCTGATGGGGTGGGGGGTGGCTCTTTACTTCTGCCAGGTCTCAGGCCAGTAAGGTCAGGGCTGAGAGAGGTGCAGTGTCCTGAGGTCACCACTAGGGGTCAGGCACGCCTGCTCTACTCTGCAGTGTCATCTCATTTTTTTGGCTCTTTCATTGCTCTAAGGCGCCCTCCTTGGTCCCCTGCCTTCTCCTTGCCCCAGGCTCCTTTCTCTCACTTGCCTCAGCCCAGCCCTCCCTCCTTTAGGCCATCCCATCCAGCCGTCAACGCAGGGCCAGACAGCCTCCCAACTAAACAGTCTGGCATTTCTCCTGACCTTTGGGGAGTCCCGCAGCCTCTCACTTCCCCGATTGTAGGAGTGACTAATTAGTGAGCAGAAAGTGCCTTCTCCTATCTTATCTCTTCTCCTGCAGCCATTCAGCTCAAGTTCTCTGGTTCTGTCTCCAAGCAAAATAGGAGTGTTTCTGAATTACTCCTTCTAACGTGTTTTCTTATGTGTGTCAACAAAGCTCTTCTCCAAGCCCAAGCCCCTTTGTGGCCCCCAGAGCCCAGTTTCAAGAGCCCCTCAATCCCTTGATGAGAATGTTCTCACCTCACTCCAGCACAGCACCCACATACACGGAGCCTTGATCCCTCTGGACCTGATCTCCATTTGCTCTCTGGCACATCTCAGACCCTGCTCCCTAAGGTCCCACCTTTCATCCACCCTCCATGCTCCCACTTTCCCTCCCCACAAGTGAGCCCCACAGCCTTAGAGGTTCAGTTCTTCTCAACAGTCCCTTACCATCTTGACATCCTGTCCTCACACTCCTTCCTCCAGGAAGTCTTCCCTCTGCTCAATCCGGGCTCTAGAGACAAACATATATGAAGGAATGCTGGCTCTGCCAGGTACCAGCTATGCTACCTTAACCTCCCCAATTCTTAGCTTCTCTTCATCTGTAAAATGGGGACAGTGGCACATGGCTCTCAGATCCGCTGTGAGGCCTAAGTGGTCGATGGCTCTGGAAGTGTTTCGCACAGTGCCGGTCCATAGAGGTGCTCTGGGAGGTAGTCCCTGGTCCTTTCCTTCAGGTACAGCGCCGCCCCCCCCTCCCCACCTGCTAGTGGAAACCTGCCCTTGTCTCTGTGCCCTGGCTACTTCTGCTCCCCACTCCACTCCCGAGCAGAGCTCTGGCCTGGGCAGAGGGGGGAGAACGAGGGGGCTCAGGGGCATGCGGCCATCACGCCAGGGAGAGGGAGGCAGATGCAGGGCTCTGTAGGGACCTCAGACCAGAGCTCCATCTGCAAGACTGTGTCCTCACTCTACCACGCACAAGACCTAGAGTGGTGGCCCCTCTTCTCCCTGGAATTGTTCGGGGTCCCTTCTGGCCCTGGGGATGGGGAAGGGCTCCCACAGAGTGCCCTGGGGCACTGAGAGGACCAGAAGACTGGTGGGAGATGAAGGAGGGGAGGCAGGGCAGGGGGAATACCAGCCACACACTCTTCCCTGGTCCCTGCTCCCTTCCCATCCACCCCCACCCTCCACCAAACACGATCCCTGGGTTAATTTTTAGCATCGCAGCTCACACATTAGTCACTCCCTGTCACCCACCTACACGGCAGGAGGCTGCTGTGCTGGTGCCGTCATCCCATCATCTGGGGGGTGGGGTCCAGCCCCCACCCTCCTCGGTGTGCGCCCCGGCCAGGAGCCCCCTTCCACCTGGGTGAGGGGTCCCGGCAGCGCTCCCAAGACTAGCTGCAGGGGAGGAGGGGAGGAAGAGGCTGGTCAGGGAGGGGCTGGGTATCTGCTGGGCGGAGAAAGCCGGGCCGGCCCTTGCAGACCCCGCCCCCAGCAAGGCGCTGGGCTTTGCCCGCGCGGCCGGCCTCCCGGCAGTCCCGAGTCCTGGGCTCTGGGAACAAAGGTAGGAGAGGGCTCCCCCCGCCCCCCAGAGACCCGAGCCTCCGGGAGCTGCTGTTTGTCGTGGCTGCAGAGCAGCTGTTCAAACAGGGAGCTTGGGGAAGCTCCATTTTCTTAATCAAATGTTCTCCTTCCCGCTCCCCCGCCCCGCCCACCGGAACCAGGGAGCGCAAAGCGGCCAGGTGCAGGTGCCCGGGCTGGAGCTGACACCCAGCCCCAAAGGGATATCATGAGAGGGGCCCACAGATGCCAGCAGCAGCTGGAGCAGGGGAGGGGCCTCTTCACTGGGGGGGAGCGGTGGAGAGGTGGTGGTCACCCCTGTGCTGGCCCGGCCCCATGGAAGCATTCCTGTTTACGGAGCACCTGCTGTGTATTACACTGTGTTAGGCCCTGGAGGTACAACGTAACCAAGGCTGAGCTTCCTGCCTTAGGGAGGCAGAAGACCTGTCTATACAAAAGAAGTCATATAATTACCAATGGGGAGTAAGTGCTGTAAAGAAAAAAAAAAACAACAACAGGGCGCCTGGGTGGCTCAGTTGGTTAAGCGACTGCCTTCGGCTCAGGTCATGATGCTGGAGTCCCTGGATGGAGTCCCGCATCGGGCTCCCTGCTCGGCGGGGAGTCTGCTTCTCCCTCTGACCCTCCCCCCTCTCATGTGCTCGCTCTCATTCTCTCTCTCTCAAATAAATAAATAAAATCTTAAAAAAGAAAAAAAGAAAAAAAACAACTAGAGGGCTCAAGATAAAGAGTAATGAGGACAGGGAACTACTGATCTGATCTGGGAAAGCTCTGTGAGGAAGTATTTAAGCTGAAGCCGCAGGATGGAGGACTCAGTCTTGTAAAGAAGAGTATTCCAGGCAGAGAGCACAGCATAGGCAAAGGGCAGAGACAAGAAAGAGCTTGGCATATTTGAGGAATTAGACTAGGAAGAATAGTGTGGCTTAAACATGAGAAGTGACATGGAAGGGGAAACAATTTGAGCTTGAAGAGAGAGACAGAGACCTGACCCCGGAGGGCCTCCTGCAAGGCATCCCAGTACAATCGCAGATGTTGTGCACTGCACAAAGGCTCCCAGTTACCAAATTCTTGGGCCCCTGTGGCTGCTGTCAACTCAGAGGAAGGGATGTCTTTTTGTAATTCTGGGGCCCGCAGAAGGACAACATGTTAGGATAAGCCATAGGCAATAGTTTGGATTTTATTCTTTTTTTTTTTTTTAAGATTTTTTTTTTTTATTTATTTTTTTGGGAGAGAGAGAGAATGAGAGACAGAGAGCATGAGAGGGAGGAGG